TTTGCGATATAATGTCATAACAAGAACTGTTCATTTTCTTTATTATCATCTAAAAATGATCTTTAGAAAAAATCATTAAATTTATTTATTCATATGTGTTGAATAAATTGAACAAATAACTCATGATAAACTGTCAATTTATTTGATTCATATAATTGAGTTCAAACCGAATGAATTTTTCCATACGGTCAAGTGATGTTACGTACATCGGCATTCAAGCAATATCCATCTGTATAGGCATCTTATTTTACCTCAATTCTCCCATATTTGTACATGACTTCCTTCCTTCCCTTGGTTGTTCGTGTTGATACGTATGTAAAACCTTGGCCTTTTAGAGGTGAACCGTACCCCAAGTGTGGTATTTCAGTATTAGCATCGTGATTTTTGGTAAGCATTTCATGTTTTTGTGTAATTTTAATTCTTCAAAGGTACAGATAGTATGAGAGAATCAAGAATAACGGTTCCATTAAAAAGAGGGAAAATGATAAATATACTCTTTTTTTTCATACACAATCCTGTTTAATTTTGTCCATTAATTTTATTTAATTCGTTCAATCTGATGAACATGAATAAAGAGAAGTAAGTGCGTGCTAAAAATGGTGTTTGAACGAGTCTTCGTTTTTTTATCAATTTGTTAAGTGCATTGGTCTGCAACTTCAAACCTTTCTTAAGAAATTTACAATTGCATCATCAAAAGGCCAGGACTGTCTGCATGTGTCACATATATTGAAATTAGATTCAAGCACCTCATTGTGTTTGAACAGTGTGGTCCTCTCCAGAACCCAGATGAGATCACTTATCAGCTCAGACTCTGAGAGTGACTTCGGAAATTCACATGTAATTTTCTTTTAATTGACCGAATTCTTCCAAGTTCATAAAACAACTCAACTATGAATTCAAAGAACCAGACGGTCAATTGACCCAAAGAGAGAGAGAGAGAGAGAGAGAGAGAACCAACGGTGATCTTCAGTCTAGCTTTATTATGCTCAGGAGAAAATGATAATTAATGATTAATTAGGTCCTACTAATCCTTTTTAGCAGGTGTTAGTGGACAATTTGCACATTGCTTCTGTAAATAAATGTCTAATAAAAATAGATCATATGAGACAGGTGTAAGAAGGATGAAGTTCAAGAGTGTGATTCAAGTGAGGAAGTTATCAATGGTCAAAACAAAGCCACTTGTCAAAAGATTAAATAGGTTGTTATACATATAGTTGGTTAGTTAGAATCTGTTGCTTTAGTTAGAAAGAGTTAGTTGATATAAGGAGGTAGTTAAAGAGGAGTACTTGCTCTGCAAGTTTGGCATTGAAAACTTCTATATAAGTGAACAATGTAAATCGTATAGTTTTCTAATGAAGAAAAACATTTCTACTGATACAACTTTCTCTCATCTCCTTTATCTCTCTTCTTAAAAATTGTTATTGTAGCTATCTTAACATGGTATCATCACTGGCCGATCCGGTGCTTCCGCTCAACCTCTAAAGCATTTCTTTCTCTTCTTTACCCTCTAGTTTGCATCTCTCTGTGATTTTTGGCGACGGAAAACATATCAGTCGCTCAAAAAGTTGGTTTCTTCTCGTCTGCCCACCAACTGTTCGATCAAACGTCTCAGTAAAAAATTGTTCACAAAATCTGCAAAATGATCACTGCAACTCAGTTACAGATTGTTCAGTCGCCGATTACCAGTATTCTCTCCATCGTCTCCACTTCTGTTACGGTAAAGCTTGATGATTCCAACTATCTTACTTGGAGCTTTCAGGTCCGATTGCTTCTGGAAAGTCATGGAATTATGGGATTTCTTGATAGTTGAAGAAAGTGCCCACCAAGGTTCAACGATAATTCTAACATTGAAGGGGTTGAAAATGATGACTACTTGGTATGGAAAATGCACGATTGTGCACTGATGCAGTTGCTCATTGCCACATTATCAACCACTGCCATTTCCTGCGTCATTGGGTGCAAGAGTTCTGCTGAGATGTGGTTGAATCTCACTGAGCGATTCTCTGCTGTGACAAAAGCAACTATCTTCCAGATGAAGAAAGAACTTCAGAATATCAAGAAAGGGTCAGAATCAATTTCTGTTTATCTCCAAAAGATTAAGGATGCAAGAGATCATCTTGCTGCAGCTGGAGTAATTTTTGATGATGAAGATATTATAATTCTTACATTGAAAGGACTACCTGTAGAATTTAACACATTTCGATGTGTGATCAGAGGAAGGGAGAATGGGATATCTCTCAAAGACTTCAGGTCTTAACTCCTGGCAGAAGAAGCTATCATTGATCAGTCTTTTGACAGTTCTTCCGGATTGTCCTTTGGTAGTGCCATGGTTGCTGGAATTCAATCTGACAAAGGGAAATCACTTGTTCTTGATCAAGTTCAACCAAGGTCCTCCTCTGATCCATCTTTCAGGCACAATGGAGGATCCAGTTTTGCTAATTCCAATTATAATACTAGATCTTACAACAATGGGAGTTACCACAACTTTGGCAATTATAAGGGTAACAATTTCAGGGGCAAATGGAGAGGCAGATTTCAATACAATTTAGGTCCCAAATTTTCCAACGGTAATCCCGGCATTTTTGGTACTCCAAAGCCATATCAATCTCACTGCCCGGATCACTCTTCTGAGATTCCTACTTGTCAAATATGCAACAAAAAGGGTCATGTTGTTGCAGATTGCTTTCAAAGACATACCAACACTGCCTCGAGCTCTCCTATTCAATGTCAAATCTATTGGAAATATGGACACTCAGCCCTTCAATGTTACCACAGAAGTAATTTTGCGTATCAAGGGAGGCTTCCAACCACTAATCTCAGTGCTATGCATGCCAATCATCAACCTTCAGCATCATCTAAACAATTTTGGCTTGCAGACACTGGTGCTACATCACACATGACATCTGAATTGGCAAATTTGGACCTCTCCACTTCATATCAATGAACTGATACAATTACCACTGCAAGTGGTGCAGGTTTGCATATTTCCAATATTAGCACGTCTAAATTGGTTGTTCCTCATCATTCCCTCATTCTTAAGAATGTATTACATGTTCCAAAGCTTTCTCAGCATCTGTTATCCATTTATCAACTATGTAAAGACAATAGGTGTAGATTCATTTATGATGATGTTTCTTTTTGGGTTCAGGACAAATCCACAGGGAAAATCCTACTCAAGGGGCTGTGTAGAGCTGGTTACTATCCTATACCATTCACCATTTCACAGAAGCAAGCTTCACCACCTACATCTCATTCATGTTTCCTTGCAAAACCAGTTCACTCAAGCATATGGCACAAAAGGCTAGGACACACATCCAATGCAATTACTTCTGCAATTCTACATCAATCTCAAGTACCTGCATCACTATAGACATGTTCATCCATATGTACACCATGTTTAGAGGGAAAGTTCACCAAATTACCATTTCAATTTCTTGTAAACAAATCTGTACATCCTTTAGAAAAAATCCACAGTGATGTATGGGGACCTGCCCCTTTACTATCCTATGAAGGATTTCAGTATTATGAAACCTTCATAAATGATTGTACTCGTTACACATGGATTTTTCCATTAAGAAATAAATCAGAAGTATTTGCCACTTTTGTTCATTTTCATGCCTATTTGAGTACACAGTTTTCTGCTATAATTAAAATCTTTCAAAGTGATGGTGGTGGTGAGTATACAAGTACCAAGTTTCACCAATTTGTAGCACAACATGGGATTTTACATCACAAATCATGTCCATATACACCTGAACATAATGGTTTGGCAGAAAGAAAACAAAGACATATTGTAGAAACAACAATAACCCTTCTTCAAACTACCAAACTACTTAACCAATTTTGGGTTCATGCTTGTGCTACTGCTACTTACTTGATAAATAGGATGTCTTGTGCTTCTTTAAACATGAAGTCACCTTTTCAAATGCTATATAACACTGTTCTTGAGATTGAACATCTCAGGGTTTTTGGTTGTGCATGTTTTCCTTTGCTAAAACCATATAATACTTCTAAACTTCAACCTAAGACAACAACTTGTGTCTTTTTGGGATATGCAAGTCAATACAGAGGGTTCCTATGTCTAGATTTTGCCACTGGTAAAATTCAAGTGTCCAGACATGTTTTATTTGATGAAGCTAGTTTTCCATACTCAACCTTCACAAGTGTCACACACTTCCAAATTATCTTCTGCATCATCACATATTACAATGCATCCACCCCAGTTAACTCCAGTCATCACATTAACAAATCAAGCATTAACACCCTCATTTCATTCCATATCATCTCCCACCACAGAGTCCTTGCCTATGCATTCATCTAGTGCCTCAGAATCTCTTTTTGCATCTCGAACCTTAGAATCCTTGGAAACAGGTGCATCTAGTGCTCGAGAGTTTGATTCTTTACCTGCACATGACACAACTGCATTACACATACCCTGTGCCTCTTCCCTACATCAGTTGCCTCCACCTAGCTCCAGTACACAGCACCATATCTCTGTGGATCCTGATTTCCACCCTGAGAGACTAAATGTGGTTCTGTCCATACCAATGAATGTACATCCCATGCAAACAAGGTCCAAGAATGGGGTGTTCAAAAAGAAAGCTTTGTTAGCTACGGTTACTTCTGAACCCAAAACATTCAAAACTGCTTCCCAAGTTTCTGAATGGCAGATTGCAATGCAAGAGGAAATAGCGGCTCTTCATTCTCAACAGACTTGGTCTTTAGTCTCATTACCACCTGATAAGAATTTAGTTGGGTGTAAATGGATCTACAAAATTAAAAAATATGCAGATGGGTCTGTGGCAAGGTACAAGGCATGACTTGTAGCACAAGGGTATAGTCAAGAAGAGGGTGTTGATTATTTGGAGACTTTCAATCCTGTGGTAAAACCTACAACTATAAGGCTGATCTTTGCCTTAGCTGCTCAATTCAAGTGGTCTCTTAGGCAGCTAGATGTCAAAAATGCCTTCTTACATGGCATACTTCAAGAGGAAGTATATATGGCACAGCCTCCGGGTTTTGAGAGTGTCACACATCCTTCAAACTATGTTTGCAAACTTCACAAATCATTATATGGTCTCAAACAGGCTCCTCGAGCCTGGAATGAAAGGTTCACCAACTTCTTACCAAGTTTGGGATTTCAAGTTTCACAGGCTGATCCCTCACTGTTTATTCAACAGTCTTCCAAGGGCACGGTGTTATTGTTTTTGTATGTTGATGATGTCATTCTCACAGGTAGCAGCACTCAATTGATTAACCAAGTGATCACAGCTCTCATTGCAGAATTCGAAATGAAGGATTTGGGTCTCCTGCACTACTTCCTGGGATTACAGATCAGTTACACCTCAGAAGGCTTGTTTGTGTCTCAAACAAAGTATATTAATGAGTTAGTTGATAAAGTTGACCTCCAGGACTCTAAACCGTGTGCTACACCATGTCTCCCATATCACAGACTCCTCAAGGATGATGGGAAGTCGTATCACAGTCCTGATCAATATAGAAGTGTTGTTGGCGCTCTTCAGTATCTTACTTTTACAAGACCTAACATAGCATTTTCAGTCAATCAAGCTTGTCAGTTCATGCACAATCCTATGATTTCTCATGTTCTTGCAGTTAAGAGAATCCTTCGCTATCTCAAAGGGACATCCACTTATGGCATTCATTTTAAATCAGGACCATTGCATCTGCAATCTTATAGTGATGCAGATTGGGCAGGAGATCCAAATGATCGAAGATTAACTTCAGGATTTGTTGTATTTCTTGGATCCAACCCCATCTCATGGGCATCAAAGAAGCAACACACGGTATCCCGATCATCCACAGAAGCTGAGTATAGAGCGTTGGCAATCACGGCTGCAGAACTTGCCTGGATTCGACAACTATTATGTGATATGCATATACCTTTACATTCCTCTCCGCTGATATATTGTGACAATGTCTCAACTATTGCCCTTTTTACAAATCTTGTGTTCAATGCAAAATCCAAACACATTGAGATCGACTATCATTTTGTATGTGAGAGAGTCACTCGGGGTGATCTTCAAGTTCAACATGTGTCTTCGACAGACCAATCAGCAGATATCCTAACAAAGGGCTTGTCTGCACCATTATTTCAGCAACATTGCAACAATCTGATGCTTAGTGTTCTCGAGCATCAGCTTGAGGGGGGATGTAAGAAGGATGAAGTTCAAGAGTGTTATCCAAGTGAGGAAGTTATCAATGGTCAAAACAAAGCCACTTGTCAAAAGATTAAATAGGTTGTTATACATATAGTTGGTTAGTTAGAATCTGTTGCTTTGGTTAGAGGGAGTTAGTTGATATAAGGAGGTAGTTAAAGAGGAGTACTTGCTCTGCAAGTTTGGCATTGAAAACTTCTATATAAGTGAACAATGTAAATCGTATAGTTTTCTAATGAAGAAAAACATTTCTACTGATACAACTTTCTCTCATCTCCTTTATCTCTCTTCTTAAAAACTGTTATTGTAGCTATCTTAACAACAGGTGCCTCTCAAGTAATATATTGATTAGTCAAATTTTAGAAAATACAACCTTAAATACCATGCGTGGTGCTTTATGTGTATTGTTAACTCAATTGGTAGGAAATTTCAACGTGCTTTTTGTTAATTGGTTTAACGGCTGGTCAAAGCAGCCGCGTGGGGTGGTGATTTCACCCAAGGGGAAAGAGCAATAAAAAAGATTAATAAACAATGCATGTGGTCTTGACATCTTCCTTGCCCTGCAAGTTAATCAACAGATATAATATTGTCCCATTTCTATCTCACTATCTATATATACACTCAGTTTGCTCAGCTAATTGAAGCCTAAAGAAAACATACAGAGCCAGTATCACCTTGCTCTTTTCCACAACTCTTCATTAATCTAGACACAAATACAAGAGGTATATCGATCGAAAAAAGAAATTACAAGAGATCCGAAGCAAAGTCACAATGACAGTTTTCTCAACTTTCCTGAATTGCTTCATTCCATCGTCGCAGGTCTCCGATGAAGCAGTAGGCTCTGCAACTGCAAGTATAAAAGTGCCTTATTCAACGGAATCCAAGAAGAGCAAATCAAAATCATCATCATCGGGAGCTCCCATACTAGTCTCTTACTTCCCCCAAAATTCGTATTTGTCTCGCTTGTGATCTTGTGGTCAAAGTAACTTAAAAGTTTTGGTTCATGGCGGGATAAATTCAAGATCAATAGTATTTCTCATTCTGTATGAACAATCTTTCTTTTGGCAAGTGAAAACGTACAAAATTATAATAATTAGTTTATACACACACACACACATGTTTGTTAAATGAGAAGACTGTTTCTCTTTGTTATATCTACAATTCATTGTAATCATGATTCATTAATAAAAAATCAGAGTTTTTTTATAACTCTCTCAACTGAACTTTCTCACCAACCAAACAGAATTAGGGTTTTCAGGTTTAATTTTCATCTACAAAAGGTGCTTTTACATTTAAGGTGTCCCTTCGTAACACATATTTCTGAATATTTGCCACTTGGGTTTAGGTTATTGACATACTATGGACATTTTAAGGCAACTATTTATTCTTCGCTAAACAACTATTTTGTTGTAGTTGTTACATTCTGGTTAAGGAAATTTTTTTATAGATATCGAAAATACAAGTCAATGATGAATCATTGCACCTAAGAATGGACAGCATATAGTTGATATGTCCAATTTCTAAATTAAATTCATAAAAAATATATTCACACATCACAGCTTAAGTAAAACAAAAATGTCAGTGGCCAATTTTAAGTATAAAAATTGCTCTGGTTAAGAAGAAAATCATGAGGCTGCTAGGAATCACACTAGTTAAAAATAGATACAAAATGATGACATATATATATATGACTTTATTAAGTGGTCCCTCTCTTCTTGCTCTCCAAGGTAATAATATTTTGTTGTCCTAATATTCCTGTCACCATATCTGCAGCTGGCACTTACATATTATAACAGATGAAAGGTATGGCATTTGATTCTTCAACGTTTTGTGTCGTCGATTGTTGGAAGTGCATTGTCTTTTTTATTTTGAATGGCGCGCATGGTCCCCATAATCTCCACAACCATGAAAATGTGAAATGTCGTCTGTGACTGAAATAGAGAGCCTTCTTGGAAATTCACAGGTTTCTTACAAGTTTGATAGCAAAAAACTGTGGTTCTTAGAAGTTCACTGAAAATAATCACTTTTGGGGGTCATATGAATAATTAATGCGACTATTTAGCTAGGTCTTAATCTAGGATTTTCACATTGCTTCTCTAATAAACTCTCTTAATCAATTTAGAAAGAACAGATGTCTCATTATTTAGTCAAGGTTTGCAAAATAAGCTAAAGTAACCTGCACACTTCATGCTCACGAATCATGATATATTGACATGAAATTTCAACCTTATTATTTTAATTATAATATAGACTAGTTTGCCTGGAGTATGTTATATTGATATAAATAAAACTAAGTAATTGTGCATATATAATAGTGAGATCTTGAATCTTCCGTGGCCTCCAAGTTAATCGATCGACAAATTCCCATTTCCATCTCACTATAAATTTTGGGCAATAATGCAACACCATATATCACACCAAGTTAGCAACCCGCTTTAAATCATCTCAATCCATATATCTGAACCCTTACAAATCACTAGCAAATTAAATGGCTATTTTCTCAGTTATTTTTCAACTGCTTCATGGCATCGTCACAGGTCTCCGATGAGGCAGCTGCAGAGCCCAGTTCTTCAAAGGATTCCAGAAAAAGCAAATCAAAGTCATTGGGAGCTCCTGTAATAGTTTCTTATTTTCCCCATAATTCATACCGCTCTCGCTTGTAATTGTTTTGCTCCATCTAAAAAAGCAAGGTCCTTTGAAGCCAAAAATTGATAGTTAATTTTTTCGTCTTTTGTTGTTTTTCTATTTAAATTATTGGATTTCATGTTTACAATTTGGTTCCCAATCAAATTAATGAAAGTGCTTAGAAGGCAACAGATGAAAGATAACACTAACAACTTCCATGCCCAGTATATGGGGAGTATTCAGTCTCCATATTCAACATTTCATAATAGCGAATAAGAGCCACATAATGTTGATTAAGAATCATGATTTGATAAAGATAGCCAAAAACACGCGCGCATGCAAATCGCAACAAGGACCTTCACACTAGGAGTAAAAATAAAATTTAGAAAAAAATTGAAATTTAGAGAGAGCTTGACGGAATGATTGGAATGAGGGATGAGCATAAAAGATGATATATTGGTAGGAAATCATATATTAAACTGATAATAACATCATTGTACAAAAACAAAGGTAGGAGATGAAACATATTTCTTTCGCATCAATATATTGAAAGTTATAGATTTGGCTACAATATTTATATGTATTTAATATAAACACTATCTTGATCGTCAAATAATGATATTAAATACATATTTTTACATGGATTATAGACTTTGAATTTTCAACATATTTTGGTCATGATGCCGATGAATCAATCAAAATTCGGATTCAACACTTCATTACCTTTGAACCGCGTGGAACTGTTCATTACATCAGCCTCCCTTCCAAATAAAATAAAAACCCTCAAAAATATATATGCTGCTTCTTCATTAGATCAGCTTGCTTCTAGGTTAATTACTTGGCATGCAATTTCAACGTGCCCCTTGTCTAGTCAAGGCAGCCGCGTGACGAACTTTCTTCATAAAGATTACTTTGTGGAGTCTATAGAATGCATTGCGGTCTTGAAATATTCCTTGCCCTTCCCAGTTAATATATATATATATATATATATATATATATATATATATATATATTCTAGGCATGTAAGAAGTCTCAAGCCAAGAAACGAAGGTGATTTTGTCTATTGCTTCATGACATCGTCACAAGTCTGCGATGACAAAGGACGCTCTCCGACTACCGCAAGCTTGCCTGCTTCAAGCGAATCCAAGAAAAGCAAGTCAAAATCATCAACATATTGGTCTCGCAAGCATGTTTCTAATTACTACATGGAAATACTACTAAACCTCATCAAGGGTATGTGAATCAAAGGATCCAAGTTATACCATATATACCAGCACTGGACTAGACGATGAGTAATAAGTTAATAAGTTATGTATGGCCTGATGGAATATGAATATATAGTTATGCTTTTCTTAGTTCGGTGTATACGTAGTACGCTTTGACAATTAATATCCATTTTCTTTGTTTTTTCTGTTTTCTATTTGAGTTGATCCTGTGCTTATTTAAGGAAGTGCATCAACTGCTCGAGCTATCTTTTGTAGAAAATGTAACTTGTACTCCGTTAATTGTGGCTCGAGCCCTCTTTACAAAAAGTGTATTGTGGATTACTTCATCGTTTTTAAATTAGACTAATACTGTAACCATTATAAATCTTTTAAACTAGACGTATACTTTAACCATTATAATCTTCGTGATCCTGATCTTGTTTAGTTTGTTTTTCTTATCTCTTGCCTATTGTTATTTATTACTCGTTCTACACATTCTTGCAAGTATTGATTGACGCTTTCACACATCCTAACTAGTGACATAAAATTTTGACAGATTCCATTGTTGCGAGTGAAGAAAACAAAAAAAAAAACTTTTTTCTTTTTATAAGATATAACTGAGGAAAGTTTTAGGGAGATCACATTTTTTTGAATCATTTAATGTAGGCAAGTGATTAATGAACTTATTCATAAAAAAATGCTAATGAAACCACATATTTTTACCATATTGGTGTACTATCTGATGTGATAGGTGATGTGCCCATGCATTGTCAATTATTGAGTTCATCTAATTAGATTTTGGTTATATGCATCATGTACTGCCACATAATGTGGTTGTTTCCCTCTTTTTGGGTTTGGATGCATGAGTAGAGGTGATAAATCAATCCATTGATTGTTAATCGGTACCCTTAAGACCCATTTAATTTAATATCACCATAATGTAGAAGTAAAATTGGTAGTGCTGATGATGTTGTAAGGTGAAATCAAACTGAATGGGTCTTAATCCGTACCCATTAACAACTTAATGGGTTGATTTGCCACATCTGTGCGTGAGCATGTCACCATGTGACCTAGACTAACCAACGTAGAAAGAATGTGAAAGTGATTGTGTTTGCATGTTAAATTTGACTTCTAATCAAACGATTGAACGACTGAGTAAGGAACCTCTTCTCGACCTAGTTTTTTTCTCTACCTTGAAGGCAAGGCTTTAATAAACAACTAAATGATGTGAAATGGTGATGGTGAAGATCT